CACGCACCTTGACCTGGCATTGCTCAGGTCATTGAGGGGCTCAGAGCAGGGTGCTGGCAGGTGTCCGCAGGCGCAGAGGTAAATGCCGATATCCACAGACCGTTTTCACAGAGGTGGATACAATCTTGTGTCACTAGCACCCTGCAAATTTGTGGCCTCCGCTTTAGAGCCGTGGATCGTTTTTTGCAATCGTACCAGTAACTCCAGCCATTTATTGACACGGTGGCAGACTTTTTTTTACCATAGCCAAGGCCCACACGCTGACCCTGCAGTTCTCAGCCCACTTCCCAGCTTCCTTAACAGTATTCGATGGCACCAGGCTCCCTTTCCAATCCACCTCCGAGCAGCCCTGTCCCATGGCCAGGAAACAGCCACACAAGCTTTGGATTCCAAGCTCAGCTGGCGTCAGTCAGACCCTGGAGCACTCTCATGCTTGAGCCTGCTAGTCACTTGCTCAGAATTTGCTTTTTGAAATCAAGGACGGGCCACTGCTACCGTACCACCACCCCCCAACTCTCCCAGGTAGCGGCACTTAGACCACTTAGACAGACAGACACAGAACGAGCTTCCTCTACAGCTTTAGCTGAGCGCCTGCTGCTTTTAGCTCAAGCTCTAGAGACCCGCACTAAGCGCCAGCGGTCCCGGGCTCCGTTCTGCCTGGCGGTGTTACGCTACCACCCACCAGCACAGGCACAAAGCCCCCCCATTGTTCCCCAAGTCCTCTCTCCCCTAATCAAATTCCGTGCGCGCTGCCCCAAGTCTCTGGCACAGATTGTTATCGGGGAGAACGGCGTCTGCCCCTCGTCTTCCCAACACCAACCCACGGCGTTTCCAGTCCAGCTTTACAGCGTGTGAGGCTACAGAACGGGCCTCGAGGAGGGACGCTTTGGCCTTGACTCTTTCAGTCTGTACGCGAGGCTGGTGTGCGCCAGTGCAGTTAGGAACAGGGCCGACACCAGGCACAAATCAGGCCAAGTCCTCTGCCCGGGGCTGCTGCAGCCCCTCCCTTGCTCTCAAGAGCACAGCTTCAAAGCGGGAGGATTTGGCAGAGACTGAGCATGGCTGGCGTTGGGGGTTTAGCAAATCTCTCAGTACGAGGCCTGTAGCTGCATCTTCGCTCGGACGCTCGCTCTCGGCAGAATGAGCTTGGTGGCTGTTAACAAAGGGTCTCGTCTTCCTCCTTGTCCCACGCAGGTTCTTTTGCTTTGCTTTTGTATGTCCACCCACACTGCACAGGGAACACGCTCTCCAGCACCCCAGGCTCCTCTTGCTTCTCTCTACTGAGTCCTTGCCTGGAAAAAGCTCCTCTTCCTTCCCTTCATTTCTCAGAAATTCACACACGCCGCTTCATTGGACTGGCACCCCAGCTGCTCTCCTCATTGTGACGCTCGCTGGTTTTTGTTCATCGCAGTTGCTTTGGTTTGTCTTCTCCAATGTAATGGGTGACAGGCAGCTCCCAGGGCACCTGGCTCTGGCCACACCATGTTGGGGTTTGCCCCTTAAAATTCATTCCATTGTCTTTTATACAAAGGCTTTTGTACCTTTGAGGAGCTTGCCTTCATTGTTCTCGCCTCGTTCTGGGCACAAGGTTACACGGAAGATCAGATTTTGCTCCGAAAGGGAGTCAGAGCCTTCGCTATTGCTATTGATTTTACCCAGAAGACATTCAGGGTTTCATATAAACTAGTCTAGTGCAAGCCCCCAAAATCAAACGCTATGGGCAGCCCCTGTTGGTATCTGGTACTCCTCATTCTGTGAGGATAAGGAAAGTGGACGGAAGCGTGTGTTCCCGTTGGCCTCCCACCATGTCGTCAGTGACAGCTCGGCTTAAGTTAAGCCGAATCCAGCTCAGCATTTTGCATATCTGGGTGACAGATCTTAAGCTGACTGAGGACCAGGCCTGAATGTATTCCCAGTACAATGAACAGCACTAGTGCCTCTCACCATAGTATCTAAGGTAATACCTCTGCATCCACCTACTTCTGGTATCTCCCTTCCACATTTCCAGTCAGCCCTTGGCTCTCACGAATTAATTTTTTTCCTTTAAGCGAACAGTGCGACAGCTGGAGAATCCGCAGCTGATCCCAGGTCCCATGGAAATGCCGCACGGAGCCACAGATCAGCTGGGGACTCCTGAGCTGACCCCGGGTAATACCTCTGCATCCACCTACTTCTGGTATCTCCCTTCCACATTTCCAGTCAGCCCTTGGCTCTCACGAATTAATTTTTTTCCTTTAAGCGAACAGTGCGAGATTGCTTTCTTTCCCCTCTGCCAAGGGCCTGCCTGCTTCGTTTATTCCTTCTGTATACTTTTGTTTCCTGTTGTGTTTCTCGTGCTTTCCCATCTTCGTACTAAGGATGTTAAGAACTAGTCTACATACAGGCCGCACAGGGGGAGGAAAGGGGGTACCTCAAAGCAGCAGTGCCACATGAAGCCCCGGTTCAGCTGAGGACTCCCCCACTGACCCCGGGCTCCATGCAGCGCTGTTGCTTTGAAGTGTCACGGGGATCCCAGCATCAGGCTGCACGCTGAGTTTCAAAGCAGCACCATATGGAGCCAGGGGTCAACAGGGGAGTCCCCAAGCTGATCCTGGGCTCCTCGCAGTGCTTTCACCTTGAAGTGTAGCAACAGCCCGAGGAGCCTTATCAGTCAATTGAACAGTCAATGCAAAGGGTCAGCAGGGGACTGAGTTCCCCACTGAGCCCAGGCTCCATGCGGGCACTTCTGCTTTGAAATGAGCAAAAGCTCCTGCTGGGGACTCTTGTACATTTCAAAGCTGGCATCCCTGCATGCAGTCCAGAGCCAGCGGGAAGTCCCGCTGACTCTGGGCTCCACGCAGGCGCTTCCGCTTTGAAATACGCAAGAGCCCTCGGGCTCTTGTGCATTCCTCTGTGTGTGGAGTCCGGAGTCAGCGGGACTTCTCGCTGGCTCAGGCTGCACATGGAGTTCCAACTTAGAAATGTACAAGAGCTCCCGCTCAGACTCTTATACGTTTCAAAGGAGGATTGCGGAGGTGCCTATCGACTAGTGAGCAGTTGATGGAAATTCCATTAACCACTCAACTAGTAAATTAACTGATATTTAACATCCTTACTGTGTACCCATCTTCCCCGGTTCTTGCCAGCTCCGGAGCTGTCCATCCTGGCTCCTTCAGCTCCTTATTTAGCCACGTTTTCACCAACATCTACCTACCTATCTGGGGGGGCCTCACTTGTGAACTCAGCCACAGATCCGTTTGTAGGGTGTGAAGCCCATGTTGGTCTTAAACTTATTCCGTGTGAAAAACCTGCTCCCTGTATTTTCTCTTCTAGTGAATGAAGAGTGGTTGGAAGGCCAGTGCCAGGGGAAGATTGGCATTTTCCCCATAGCTTTTGTTGAAGAAAGTGTGGCTAAAGACCCTGAAATCTAATTCCAGAGAAGCCTAAATATCCCAGGACGTGCAACAGCTGCATTTAAGAGGTGTCTCATTAGCCACTGCAAATAGGCATGTTATCCTCGCGTGTCACCTGTTGCTGTGCCCCAGCTCTTAAAGATGTACCAGTCAGCACCTGGTTTATGAACTGTCTTCCAAGGAGACCATCAGCCAGCCAGCCAGCCATGCCTGAACAGCCGTGCTCCTAGACCATTGAGAAGCAGCAGCTGTCCCCTCATCTATTCCTCCTAAGTCAAGATTGGGGAAAACTGCTTCTCAAGGGCAGCGCTGGTGTATTTATAGCACTGTCAGCAAGAACGGAAAAGGGGCTGGTGGCTGAGAGCTACGGATCAGACCAGGATAATTCTGCCACATCATTATAGTCACCTGACACAGCATTGCCAGCAAACCCAGCATTCAGACATCATGGATTATCCTCCCCGCCTGACTCAAACACCATGGCTGTGTCTAGACTGGCAAGTTTTTCCGCAAAATCATCTGCTTTTGCGGAAAAACTTGCCAGCTGTCTACACTGGCCGCTTGAATTTCCGCAAAAGCACCGACGATCTCATGTAAGATTGTCAGTGCTTTTGTGGAAATACTATGCTGCTCCCATTCAGGCAAAAGTCTTTTTCCGAAAAAACTTTTGCGCAAAAGGGCCACTGTAGACAGCAGAGATTTGTTTTCCGCAAAAAAGCCCTGATCGCGAAAATGGCGATCGGGGCTTTTTTGTGGAAAAGCGCGTCTAGATTGGCCACGGATGCTTTTCTGCAAAAAGTGCTTTTGCGGAAAAGCGTCCTGCCAAGCTATACGCGCTTTTCCGAAAATGCTTTTAACGGAAAACTTTTCCGTTAAAAGCATTTCCGGAAAATCATGCCAGTGTAGATGTAGCTCATAGCTTTTAAATTCCACCTAGACTCAGTCTTTTGGGATCATGTTTTCAAGCTCTTTGCAGCAACCATAAGGGCTCGAAGCCTTTTTAAAAAAGAAAGCCCAGAGATGAGGCTTTAAGGAAAAACAGCACAGAATTTAGCAACACTGCTACCCTGCCTGTGTGCAGCCAACACAACCCTGCCTTTCCCCCTCCAACATGCATGTATTGTAGTACTCCATCATCCAATAAAATGGCTCCTCTTTCACCGTGCTTCACCTTCACTGACCAGCAGCTGGGATTGCTCACTCCCTTAAGAGGGCCCCTTTTCCCTTGTCGCTCTCTGCACAGATATGTATGCGATTGGATGTCCTGCACTTGAGGTGGCGACGGGTGACAGGGGACACCTCTGACCCACCCTTTTCCCTTGTCGCTCTCTGCACGGATATGTATGCGATTGGGTGTCCTGCACTTGAGGTGGTGACGGGTGACAGGGGACACCTCTGACCCTACACCCCTAGCAGTGTAAATATTGATACTTGTTTTCAAGTTGATTGTTTTCGAAAGACGTCTGAGAACAGAAGCATGGCAGCTCTCACATCAGTACAGTGCTGGCTTGCCGGCACAGCCCCACTAACGTGCCCCAAAACCGATAGAGGTGTCAGACTCAGACATGGCAATTCCGCTGCCAAAGCTCATTTAAGAACTGGCCCCAAATTAGAATTATTGCAAGAACAAGGTTCTAAAAATGGTAGCGAGACCTAGGCTGCTGGGACTTGAACGGAGACAACACATCCCTCATGCCACCCTGGTACGTATCTGGAACAATGGCTTGTGGGGAAAAAGGATCTGCCTCTTGGAATCAATCCCAAACGTTATTGATTCACATCCCACCTTCAAATGAAACTAAGGGTTGAAGTACCACGTGCACACTTCTCCTTTTGTGCACATTTATTTTAGACCCTATTAGGCTCACCTGGAGTATTTACAAACCCAGTAAAGGAAGTGTTGAATTAAGGTGAGATCTGGAATTTGGCTGGGGGAGTCTGGGTGCTATGTTAGAGGCCAGGAGGGTTAGAATCGGTCAGGATTTTGTTTTTTTTTGAAAACACACCCACACCGGCTCCAATCCCTATTCCACTGAATATCTAACAACAGCTCCAAAAAGGAGAGACATCCAACCTAAAATTCAAACCAGAGACCTGAACCTGGGTCTCCCCCATCCCAGGTGAGCGCTCTGCCCTGCCCACCAAGTTACTGGCGGTTTTGGGGTGGGCTCTCACTCGGTTTCACACACACTCCGGAAGAGCTCAGTTCCATCATGATGCAGAATGGGGATGTTCTGAAATAGTACAACGTCTCACGGGGCAGAACACCATTTCCTTCCCAGCTCCAATGGCGTTAGATGGAGGATACAGGTTCTGGCTGAGTGTACGAGGGCTCTGGTGGTGAGAACACATCCAAGAGCAGAGAGGCAGAGGGGGGAGGGAGACTTAGCTGAATATCCGGGACTATACCGGAACACTAAAAAGCTTCAGCCAGTTTACTCTTGTTCTAAGGCTTCGGGTTCCCAGTTCCCCATTAATTCTCTCTGAGCCAAGGAGCTGCCAGCCCCACTGCACTTCTGACCTCACAGGTTTTATACACATAAGTCTGCTCCTACCTGGACCTTGAACTCACATCATCTTCTTCATTAACGCTTCCTGGGTCATAAGGGATTTTCCAGCTCACCAATCTCCCCACCTGGCTCCTGTAATTGTCTTCTACTGGGAGCCACTTAACAGCTGGGTTTTATGTTAAGGTGACAACTACTTGATTAACACCTGACCCCATCCCCCAGCCAGTTGCAGGTCCTCGGATTCCTGTTTCCTTAAAGGGCCATGTTCCTGAACGGGTCAGCTGGGCTCCCTTAAAAGGAAAAGACCACCCGTTAAAGTGTGCTACTTCCACCAAAGCACCGTCTGGGAACCCCTGCTCTAAATCTTTCCATCAGCTCCCCACGATTGAGTTAATTCACTCTCAGGGTTCTTGCAGTTTGACACAAGCAGCCTTCCAATGGAAAGCTTTGCCAGCACCTCCCGTACAGGACTTTCAGTTCCATGTTCACAGCCACTGGGCTGTGTTTGCCTTTTGGGTCATCCGTGCTGCGTTCGTCAATCTCTCTGGCTCACTTAATTTTCAATCCCATGTGAATCTTATGTTGCTTAGCATCAGCCTTGCTCCCTTTTCTACAAGCAGAGAATCTAAATAACTTCCAATCAGTGACACAGGAAAGAAATGCTACTCAGGCCTAGATGGAGAGAACATGGTTTAATTAAAGGCAAAGCTGATTTCAGCAGCTGCAGGTCTTGCACAGACAGACGAAAAACACAAAAAAGCTTACAACACAAACCAGTTTCTGTTGGGGATCCCCGACCCCTACGCAACTCCGACAGTGGAGGGAGGGGTGGAGAATCCCGGCCCAAGATTCAGAAAACATTCCAAACACCAGATTCTCATGCAGAAATGGGACTCGGTGGCTGGGACTCTGGCACTGCTGGGCGTGAGATGGTGAACCTGGTTAGCTTGTCTAGGGTGCAAGAGTCAGTGACAGTTCAAGCACTGGAATGTTGCAGCTGCTTGGGGGCACAGCTCAAAACACACAAACTGGGAGGGCCGGAGAGAAGCACAGAAGGTTGCGGTTCAGATTCACCACCCCGAGGATGGGAGCTTCACTCTTTAACCTTTCAAAGGAAATAGCTTAGAATTGCAACAGAGAACAGTCATGTTGCTAGTGCATGGGGGAGCCAGTCATACCCGCGGAAGGGCATTAAGCTCTAATCTTCCCTTTTTGTATTAACTGAGGCTACCCAGACTCCAGTGTCACTGAGGCTCCTTCCTATGCGTGCTTTGCTCTGCAGCTGTTTCCCAGCTCAGCGATTCTGAATCCTCACACACCACGCCCTTTTGGCTAGCATTACAAATGGGCATTTCGCTTGTTTCCATAACTTCCCTGGGAAACGAACAGAACGCCGGTGTCCTTTTTGTCTAGGAGACTCCCAGTCTTCCTTTCCCCCTAATAAATAGCAAATAAAATGCTGCATTTCCCTTTCTGCGCCTTTTCAGAAGCGAATGGCGCTATGTCTCCTTTTCTGGGGGGGTTACACATCTCTCTGAGGCCTGGAATTTCACTCTGGAAGTGGAGGTTCGGAGCTCAGCTGCGTGAGGGTCTGTGGAGCGGACGTATACCTATGGGGCAGTGCACACACCACACTGCCCAGCTGACTGTTGTCTTTACCCCATCGTGCTGGACCCATCACTTGTTTGTGAGATGCTGCACATCGGGAACAAAACTACTAGCATCCAGCAATGAGGGGAAGATGGGGTAGAAAGAAAAAAAAAAAACCCTACTGAAAGCTTCTACCTTCAAAGAGGAGCCAGGCTGTGAATGCACCCACTAGCCTGCCCTTTGTGAGGCTGGTCACTATGCTACAGTAAAATGTACAGGAATCAGAAACATTAATTTAAAACCCCGTAGCAGTTACTTGCTTGCCCAGCAAAGCACTGCAATGCCCACTCCGTCCCCAATTGCAGCTTGAACACCTACAGAAAGGGTATTTCACGCCGGAGACTAATCCACACAAGGGCTGGCCAGAGCCTTTGAGGGAAAGATGAAGTGGTGTCAAGTGCCAGACTCTCCTTCACGAAACTCCTTCACTAGCCCAGGAGATAGACCCTACCCTGCCACCACCAACCTCTGACCGGAGCAGTGGCCGGGGCTTTCTTTGCTACACACCGACTACAAGCACGTTGTGTATGGAAGAATTCAGTGTGATCTTACTACTGAGATAGTAATAATAATAAGGATGTTTAGGAATAATTTCAACTACATTCTCAGTCAGCAAAGCAATCATTAATGGATTCCTATTTTCTCTCTCCAAAGAGAGGAAAAGGATTGAGAAGTTCTCATTGGCTTCTCCCATCTGCCCTTCATTCTCAGTTTTTACTTCCCATGTGGCGGGGACATGCGCGATGGAGAAGGTGAGAGGCGGTGATATCAGGTTACTGAGTGAGACAACAGCAGTTCCTCTCTCCCTCCAGAGGGCCTGGGGGATGGGAGAGTTCCTGATGTTTCTTGTTGCACTGCAGACACTTCGTGCACACTCAGCGGGTTGGTGGAGCACTTACGCCCTCCTGACAGCAAGGAACAGAAGAGAGGGCTGCCACCTGCACAGGACTGTGTGGGCGAGTCCTGCAGACCCAGCATGCCATGGTTTATGGAGCCTTTCTTTGCAAGGGTTACCACCTCATTCTCAGTGTGGTGGATTCATGGGGCCTTGTCCGCGTTGTTGCTTCTGCTTCTGCTGCATTAACAGTTGCTCCAGGGCTGACGGTCCAGGATGCATCATGGAACTGGACCAGATGGACTAAAACAATAAAAAGAGAACGGTCAGCATTAGTGCCTGCTCGAAAAGGGCCCCTTCTCATCTGCATTCCTACCCTTTCCTCCTGCCTCTCCCCCTCAGTCTTTGTACCATGCTCTTCACAGGGATGAATGCTTTTGCAAGTGGCCGGATCACAGATTAGGTACTAAAAAGACCCTTCCTCTTAACTTTTCTCCTTTCTTCTTTGACGCCCATAGAACAAGTCACCGTGAACACAAACTCCCATTGACTCAGCCCAGACTAATCAGTAAGGG